AACGGCTATAAATTATCATTACTTCCACTTTTGTAACACCTCTTCTGCTTGTCCTTCAACCTTTTGCGTTCTTTAAAGTCAAAAACAATGTAATCGTTTAAATGTTAGATCCTTGAACACTTCTTGTCGGTCAAATTGTTTATCTTTCTGCTCTTCGTACACATCACGCTTCGAATCCAAATTTATTATGGGCAACTTCCTGTAGAGCTGACGCTGCTCGAACAAGCTCGCGATAATTCTCTGGCATGTAGAACAACGCGACAAACGTAAACGAAGATGCCTGCCGCAGTCGGTTGAACTGTGTCGTTGTCGAAGGGCAATCCAATAGAGATTCGCGCATGTCAAGTTTGTGTGCCGTGTACTGGAATCCAGCAAATCCCGTCCGGACGCCAAACAATTTTGCTGTTGGCGCATTCGCGCTTCGATGCTCTTTTAGTTTTGCCTTATAATGGTCGTGAAGCATCTACCGTAAACGATACTGTCACGATGAGTAAGGTCCATATTATTTTCGCAGATAGCCACCATTGCTATCCATAGCGCTGGTGATGTCGTGTGCTCACGCACCTGATGCAAGAGATCGCGCAACTGGATCGTAAAGGTGAAGCGTTTTTCCCGGAGATGAAGTTGATCATAACCCTTTTGGCCTTTCGCCGTCATAAGCTTCGCCGTGTCGTACCGCTTGTCTATCATGTCGCTCATCTTCTTTTTTCGAATACGTTCCGCATGACTATTTTGTAAAATTTCCAATCACATCCATCTCAATCAATGAAAATTAAGTTTGTAAGAGTACTTCTAATTTCCAAGCTACTTCATTTAGTTCGTTGCGTGCTCTATTTTCAAGACCTACGTGACTTTCAATATCGACATAAACGATGTATGCGCTAAGGTGTACTCCGGGGTCACAACGGACATAAAAAATTTGCGCTATTGGCTGTCCATGTTGCGCTCTACTAAGCTTATCTATCATTTTTTTCGGAAGCAATCTACACTATCGTCACAATGTCCCTGTCTCCAAACACCTACTATGCCGCTCATTCACAATTAGCTGGAAACGGTCGTTCATAAACAAAACTCAACAAGACATGTGACAAGCCGGTGTCCGAAGAAAGGTTTCCATGGAAGGATCGTCATGCTACAAGCACTAAAAGCATTCCAATCAATCAATCGATAACATAGTGTCCGGTCCGTCGTTGGACGAGCAAGTAATCCTTGGCAGTAAAAATTAAATGCGAGAAGCTGTCGTGAACTGCCTTAGCGATAGTATATCCAAAAATGTTCGGCATTATATAATTCGTGGTGACGATGATTTGAAGTTCAAGCTGCTGAGTGAAAACGGCATTGTAGAGAGTATCTGTTGCGAGAGATAACGAATATTGGAAGTAGAGCCCGAACGTAAAAAGGATAATTGCTGATTAATAATAATGAACATCTGCGCAAAAGCTAAACGTGCGTACGAAAGTATACATTTGTTGGTACTTTGATACTAATATTATCAATCTTTTCACCAGCTACCAAACGACATATGGTTTATGTGACCGTAAAAGACCTTCTTATTAATGTGGCTACTTTAGTAGAGGCCGCTTTTGCATTGAAATATCTAGATAGTGAGTAAAGGAAGGCATGCACCGGAATACGGACACTGGGTTGCAAACGCTATATATTAGGTACTAGATCGCGTGTTTGAATAAAGGGGCGCACAATCTCCTTCACATACGCGATGTGGCTTACATGATGTTTGTACTTATCGCAATATATGTGGTTCTCTCCAAAAACATTATTTATATTATATTTATGGCATACATCGCAAGAAGATTGCGATACAAACAGTCGATCATTTAATCAACATCCTACTTCTCTGCAACACCACTGTTTGTCCAAAATTCTCAATCTTCTCCCCTCTAATATGATACAATCGGAGCGATTAACATGTAGCGCATGGTCACATTATTAGTTCGCAGTGTTCATGTCAAGGTCGCAAAAATAAAATGTTATTGACACTCATCTATGCCAGATATTTTGATTTATACGATTCCGGCACCATATTTTTTCGTCGATGTTGTCCAATTCACATTCAACCGTCCTAAAATTATACCATATATATACTGAACTCAACCTAACAGTCTCGTTTCGCACCCAATAAGAGAAACTACAGATTCTGATGCAAAAAAATTCGATCATTCAGGCACAATACATACGCAATGATACACAATGTGATTATTTAATGTTGCAAAATCTTATTACCATGTAAGACAGAATGATCTATACATTTAGTTTAAATGATATATCTACGTGCGCAATTTAGCTCATATTACTTATGTGGACGTACGTATTTTGGAATCAAATGGTAATATTAGCGGAAAGATTCACAGGCATGAATTTCAACTATTTGCTCGAAACTCATTGAGTGCATTGTCATTGATAAGTGAACGTTTAGTCGGTAATTCTATAGTCGTAATCGCCTATAGTTATTTATTTCGTAAAGATTGGTTTGAATGGTGACGCGTAACCATATACACAAACTAATTATAGATATGTTTTCAATTTAGGTCTGCTTACAATACTTCCAAGTCAATATCCGTATCATTGCGTGTATAAATGACAGAAGTAGAAAACATTTATACGGTAAGTAAGTATGAATTTACGTCTAAACTTCCAAAGACACGCCTTGGGCCAAATCTATAGGAGGAGCAAGGCCAGTCATGTAATCACGTATATGCCTAACTTCGGCAACTGATGTCATACCTACTTTGTTTTTTATTTTGGCAGTGACAAATTTCAAAGAATTTCATACGATCCGGCGCACTGATAGAATGAATTTTGAACTTCGAGCATTTGTCATATCTTGTCCTCTAAATATTCACTTCTCCAACATACGATCCGATAAACCTAAAATGATTTGCATATAAAATCAAAGCCTGTATATGTTTGTGCGCGTAACTTCCAGAATAGTCGACTGTATAGATCAGCAAAACACCGAAATGAGACTCACTCCGATGAGCCGGCCTCGATAACTTACTAAAATTGACATCAAAGTCTACTTGCATATCTGAATTTATGTGACAAGACAGTAAAAAGTGGCTGAATGCAAGCCAATCTTTTACAAACCGCATGTCAAGTTTTTTGAATGATCAAATGAATCATTAAATTGTGTAAGATGTTCACATTATTTCATGTGTTTCTCTGTCTTAAATATCCAGGTTTCCCGCGGCGGTATTATATGTGCTACGCGTGCACAGGCGCTGCAGCTATTATTCAAAATTCGTAATTTCTAAGTGAGTCATTATCACGCAATCGTTAATCAGTGACACCAGATGGAGGCTACCAATTATTCATTGCATCTTTGATCAAAGAGAAAATAAAAAATGCCCCAATTAATCACGAATATAAAAAACCCAGATAATTGGAAAATAAAAAAAATGCCCCTGTCCTAGTTTGACAAATGTGCTTAGGGCATCATCGCACGTATCCTCCTTGAAATTGGCCTGCATACGACGAAGTCTGCAGATATTTAAGCCATTAATAAGTGCTAAACTGATAGAATAGATTTATTGGGGTCTATTGGATTGATTATGTGTTTTTTAAGTATCAAAAGTGATAAGCAGGAAGTGAATGCAATCCCACATGTAAAACAACATTAATAGCAACAGCAGCACCTACAACAACAACATCAGTAGCAATAGTAGGAGCATCATCTACAGAGCTTCACCAATAGCAACCGCATCACCTACAACAACAACAGAAGTATCAACATCAGTAGCAATAGTAGTAGCATCAACAATAGATACTCATACAACGTCAGCAACCGCATCACCACTACCACCATCACCACCACCACCTCCACCACCACCACCAACAACAACAACAACAACAACAACAACAGCAGCAGCAGCTAAAGCAGTAGTAGCATCGACAATAGATACTTAAACAACAACAGCAACCGCATCACCTACAACAACAGCAGCAGCTGCGGCAACAGCAGTAGAAGCGTCATCAGACACAGAAACAGCATCAACAATAGCAACTGAAACAACAACAGCAAAAGATACAACAATAGTAACTGAAACAACAATAGCAAAATAAACATGTAACGGGGCAGCCCGTTACATGGAATTGTCACTTTAAAGAAAGTGACAATAAAGAATATGAAGTTGAATATTCTTTGAACAATATCACCAAAGTGGTGATATTGAAGGGTCGACCAAAGAGTCTGTTCATTGGTTGATATCGTGATGATATCAACCCACCAATCGCCGCAAGACGCGCGCAATGAGTGGTAACGAGACGTCACCATACATCCAGTTATATCAGCATAGTTAAACTAAGTCAAACGAAGATACAGTAGTTTAAAGACTTAATCATATTAATATAACAGTTCTACTTTTACCCTACCTACGCTTCCTCGCTTGCCACGTGTACGTCCGTCGGGGCACCCAAAACCCTTGCGTTAAGTTACGCAAGGGTTTGCCCCGTTACAGTTCGGGTTTGAAGTTCAACCCGAAGTGCAGAGCAGATTGTAGCGTACGTACCCGCCTGCAAACCAAAGTTTTGCAGGAATCTGTTGCTACCATATTGCACAGTGGCAAGGTACGTGCAGCAGCACTCACAAGCTGCTTGACTCGCATTGCAATCGAAATGCGACAACTGCGCCTTCGTTTTCAGTCGCACGAAACATACAAAGTCGAGACCTTGTGCGTCGACTAAAGTTGAGGTTAACTGCGCTAGTTTCGTGTCTCCTCCAAAACTTTCACATAAAGACGAGCGCAGTTCTGAACATGTAGATGATGAGCGGCATGTCACATGGCAATTGGTGCCGTCCATCGCCGCAAAGTGGCCGAGCGCTCTTTCGTGTCTGGTAGTTCTATCTCGTTAAACGTCGATGAAGTCAAGATCAAACGTGCCATTCCTCGACTAAGTTATTTCTTCGTTCGAAACATCTTTGAAGTGAGGTTCGATCGTGGACTGGTCCTCTCGTTATTAGTCTTCCTGCCTTCACTTTTGAACTAGGTGCTAGAAGTAGCGCCGCCGTCGTTGCCAAACGCCTTCCAATACGAATCGGCGACGGAGTTGGCCTGCCGAGCAGAATAACCCCCCTTCCTTGACGCTTCCCTGCCAGTAGGAATTGCCATTTGTGTACGTCTGCAACCGTTAGAATTACCTCCGCTTTCTTGCATGTTGATAGAGCCGCCACCACCTTCCTCGCCACTCTTCTTTGGATCGTCATCGGCTTCCTTGTACGGCTGCCAAGCACCAGCATCACCTTCGTTTTTGCGCAGATGGCTGGAGCCATCGCTGTTCTCCTTGCCGCTTTCCTCGGAGCCGTCGTCGGCATTTTTGTCCGCCTGTTCACTTGTCTTTTCCTCGGAGACTGGCGCCTCGTTACTGTCCACAGACTTCGATGCATCCGAATTGGGTGTGCTGGGATCACCTGCCGAAGGGTTATGTGACGTAGACTTGCCGGATGACGAAGAGCTTGTCAAGACGTCGTCTTGCGTCACGCTGTTCTCCATATCTTCTCCACCCGCAGACGCGTCTGAGCTAGGGAGATCGGCTTCACCTTTTTCAGTGTTCTTCGACTTGGATTTGTCTTCGTGCGATTCATCCTTCGACTGAGAATTGCCGTGGTGCTCGTCCTGTCCATTGACAGGCTTCTTGGCGTCCGCTGGAGATTGATGATCCGGTGCCACAATTCCTGGAGAAAACTCAGTGGCTTTCGAACCCGATTGAGAACCAGCCTTGTCCTCGGAGACTAGCGCCTCGGTAGTGTCCATAGACTTCGATGCATCCGAACCGGGTGTGCTGGGACCACCTGCCGAAGGATTATGCGATGCAGACTTGTCGGATGACGAAGAGCCTGTGAAGATGTCGTCTTGCGTCACGCTGTTTTCCACATCTTCTCCACCCGCAGACGCATCTGAGCTAGATACGGCGACACCACTCTTTTTCAGGGCACCCGCTTGAGCAACTGCGTCTCCCAGTTCACCGACACCAAAGTTCCCGCTAGCCTCCTTGAACGAAGTAGCAGGGCCTGCCTCGTAACTAGTGATGTACTTCTTAAGACTAGCAAACTGAGAGCTTACCTCACCTCCTGAACATCCCTTTAGAGGTCCGGAATCCTTGAGAACGTTCATTGAGCAGGCACGACCGATGACTGACTTGCAGTCGTTAGCTGCAGTCGGCACAAACAGGTGTTTAGACGCTTCTTGAGCTGGTATCTTGACCTTAGAAAAGTAGTTGCCTTCAGCCAGAACGTATCCTCCGTTTACCACGTCAAACGCGTGGCCAGAGTTCGAGTTGAAGAAGTTGTTGGCGGCGTGAAGAACAGTCGTTTCGCCATCGTGGCCTCCAACCTTAGGCGACCGACCTGAATTGTGATTGATGTAGTTCCCAAGCAGGCTCAACTCAGTCCTTTTGCCTAGTAGCAAGAAACCCCAGTAGTGGTGACCATCACAAGAAGCTGAGAACTTCGTGCGGCCGTCAAAGTCTGAATTGCTGATTGTGAGACCCGTCGCGCCAGAAAAATTGATGACTAACATTTGTCGTCCGACATTGGATACTTTGACATGGTCGATCCAGACACCCTTTGGCGCGTCGCCGCTCTTAGCCCGGATGGTGATGGCATCCCCACCCCACACTAGATGAGGGTTCAAGTTTGTGATGTGGATGTTCTGCACAATCACATTGCTACCGACGATGTGGATACCTTTGCCATTCAACACTCCTTTCAGACCCTCGCCGACCAGTGTCTTGTCACTCGCTATCTCCATCAGCGTCATGGCTGCTTTGTCGTAGTTCACCTGAGTCGGAGTCTCGTCGGCACCGCAACCACCTTTCTCCTTCGAGGGTGAGACGACGTTAACACGAATAAAATCTTGCGCTTCAAAACCGTTCTTCTTGGCGAGGCACTGGTCTTTACTCGGCGGACGACAGCCTTGCTCCGTAGTCGACCCCTCGATTTTTAAGAACGTGAATTCCTTGTTGAGCACGATAACCCGCGGCTCGGCGTCGCCAAGGTAAGTTTCCAATTCCTTGGTGGTTTTCGGGTAGACGGGTTTCGCATCGCCACCTCCTGTCGTCCCTGTGGCAAAACCGTAGGCCGAACCCGACACGACAGGTGCAGCAGAAGCAAACTCATAGTGAGCGTCCCATAGCACAAGTGCAAGGAGGGTGCAAAGAAGCCCAGGAGCCATCTTTTTGCGGTTCAGCCTTCCTTTGTACGTATTCCAGCAATGAGTCACGTCTGAAAGGCCACGCAAATTTTAGAATGCCAGTCCACCACCGACTACAACACGTCGCATTTGCTGTTTCCACGTGAAAGAGTCAGATTTCTGCTCGCACGCATCGTATGAAAAGGCAGATAGTGAGGTAGCGGACGGTGAGTCTCATCCCCGAGAGCTTGTGCAAAAAAAACGTCGCACGTGTTAAAACGGACACTGTAGCTTCTCGACCCAACCATTTGGGCAAATCCAGCTGGTCAGGCGATGCCTCCATGAGACGAGAGATACCTGTGCTGTATGGCCGTAATAAACAGGGCTGTCTTTGCTACTTCGCTTACTTTGCAAATCGTATGCCAGATCCACACGTACCTTCATCCGCACGAGCTGACAATTTGCCAGCACGGGTGTAATCGAAATGTCCATTTGCAGTCATCTAAGATCGACCAAGAAGTGCGCACGCATTAATCTCACCACTCGAATGCTCGTGCACTTGCTGTGTACATACAGGAGTGCTTGAGAGGTGTCGACAGTGTTCCTATAAGCACGCAAGCCTTCGTGGGTCATATTTCTGGCTGCTTCGACGAGTTCGATCGATCAAGGCGACATTTCTTCGGTTTAAATCGAACGATGACGTATCGCGACTCGATGTTCATGATAGTCAGTTGTGCCTCGTACGTCGTATCAATGCGACGCCGCCAATTTATTTGTCGACATCGACCACCAAAAGCGCGGCGAAAACCGCGTCATGCGTCTGATGTGTGTCGATGATAGACGACGAGACATTTGACGAGACATTCGAGCGAAAACAGTTGCCGAAACCCACGCGACACTACAACGGATGGTGATAGCCGGGGTATTAGATTACTAATGTCCTATCGACGCCGCAATCCCTCCTGTACAGACTGAATTTATTTCACACGTTTTCGACCCCTCGGTCTCTTTTTTTTCAAAGCGCCTGGTTTCGTTCTGCATCGACTGTGGCCTCCGTGCCCCTTATGTGGAGCTGTGCCGTCCAAGAAATTACTGTCGTCCCAGTCAAATTTCGCAAAAAAGGTCCAGATCCGGGAAGAGCTACAATAGAACCCCTCTTAGCTAATTCCATATTAGCTATAAACCCCTTGTTGTCAAACAAAAATTTCCGGCCCTACGTCGGAAAGAGAGTTAGAACACGGGACTACCCCAAGCCCTCCTACCATTTATCTCTTACTACCGAAATTTTTTATGCCCAATTGTATGAGCTAATAAGGGTTCTCCTGTTTCATTATTTCTTCATTATGATAGCAACCGAATTCCACAACAACACGACATTATCCTAGAGCGGGGAGGATTGGTGCTATTATAGTCGTTCTCAGGACCTAGCCCACGTGATGGTGGACGGCTAAGATCCGAAAGTACAATATTACTGTAAGTCTTGGGGTATTTAAGCAGCCATTATTAATTAGATCAATTGTTCGTAGGGGCTTAAGACCCCCCTCTCACGGCAGTCGTATCTACCAAAGACGATGGACCAGATAAGCCAACACCACATTTTACTGCGATTGCGCTGCTATGATCGCACGTATACTCGCACCATTGTACACCAAATAGCTATGTTGGTGTAACCGGGTGAGCCCGTAACATAAAAATTGATATTGTTGTATTAATTTCTGAACATTACCTATTTAGATAATGTTCAATTGACATTACTCGTAAGAAGTAAGGTTGACGAAATATTACCCCCGAGGGTAATATTTCCTTGATGGGTTGATCCACCTCATGGTTGATGTTCACAATACATCAACCATATTAACCATCAATCGCTGCTGGGCGCGCGCAATGGGTGGTGAGCAAGAAACCCACTAGGATATTGTAGTTTAATATAGTTAGCCCAATACAAAGATGGTTTATTACGAAACATAACGATATTAAATACAAATCTATTTTTTTCCTGAGACAGAACTTTCGAAGTCTACCTACTTCGCTGCGCTTCCTCACGCCACGGGTACGTGACGTCGGCTACACACAACCTTGTGTTAAAGAGACACAAGGCGTGCCCCGTTACAGTTGGGGTGCGTTTTTTAATCATTTAAGAGATGGATAGATACTGTTACTCGAAAAATTGTGGTCTCGGCTCGCTCGCTCGAATATCGACGTACCGCGCTTCTCTCCAGTGACTACAAGTGACTCGGTCAGACCCTACTGTACTACGAAAATACTACGCTTTTAGGGCATTTTCAACGTAATAATGGAAGTTACATTCGTATGCGTTCAAGCCACACGATGGATATCATTGTTCAGCAATGAAAAATCGAAGCTTACGATGCACGGGATCGTGTAGCAATTGTCCTTATTCTCGATATCTTAAAAATTATACGACAACTTCGGCGCCTGTATAGGTTGCCTGATTTGACATGTCATGGGCTTCTCCCTAGGATACGACTCGAATGTGGTATTATTACATGCAAACACGACCTGCAATTAAATTGTAAGAAGATAAACGACTATAGCTACCGCACTCAAGGTGTTCCCTGTGACATCGGACGAGGTTATCTACCCGCACCTCAATGTTCTTCTTTGCAAAGGATGCATTTACCGTGTACCCCAGGAACATGGAGATATTCACGGCGGTTTGTAGTATCAGGCATCCAAACGGCAGACGGCAAGGTTTATCAATAAGTGAACGATATGGCAGTGCATTTACTTGACCGTCTTGCGGTCAAGCACGTGGTCGACAGATCGGTTGCGTTTCCAGACGTTTCAGGTGTTGTAATGCATTGAGCCAAGGATTGGCCATCGGACTAAGGCCGTATGGCACCATTTTAATGGTCTATGTGGCTCCTGCCAGCATCAGTATATGTAATGGCAGGGTAGCAACAAGCAGGAGATAAAAGTAGACAAAATTTATACTATACAGGTGGTGCCGACTCTTGCTATCCAACAGGGATATAAGCACATTCTGAAGGCGAGTATGTTTGCTATTGCGATCGCGGCGCCCAATATCACATATTGGCACGTAATTGCCGACCTCGTCTAGACATTGTGTCGATATTAGAAGTTTAGCCAAATAATTTGTTTAGGGTGCATTGCGACGAGAAATGCTTCTCCCATGTTACCTGATACAAAAAGGGCATCGTTATCAAAAACACTGAAGTGGCCTCGTATAGCATGCATTCGAACTGATATGAAAAAAATGGCCGCGGCATAATCGCAAAATGGGTGAATACTAGATCCAGACGAATCCTACTGGATCATAGAGTGTGTCCCTGCGTGGTGCTACTGATCAGTAACGTGATTCTCTATGTGATTAAAGGTATCACGGTTGTTTGATCAAAGGCATTCCATGTGCGCTGGCCGCTTTTGAGGCCATTTAGGCGCGCGCGACGGGGAAGCACAAGTCCTGGACAAATACGGGTGCTGGTCAGAAGACGTTGCGGACGAAAATCCTGATCGTTCTTTTAATATTCACGCTGTTGTTCACTGTACCCGTTTGGTACAATTCTTCACTGTGTTACGTGGCTATCGCCGTCTACTTTATGTGGACGAGAGACGCGCTGATCTACGCTCGTCGAACGAAGTTCCTGTACTCTTTCTTACCCGTGCCGTTATGGTGTTGGGTGCTGAACCTTGTGTGTACAATGTCAATCCCGTGAGGATCTGCAGTAGTATGATGAACCAGCTAGATAACCACGCACTCGGCAACAACGACGTGTGGCGTGCGCAGTAGGCATACCTTTCGTTGTCGTTCATCACGACGCTGGCCGTTTTCGAGACCATCCAGGCGTGCGTAACGTGTAACAAGGTACGCGTTGTGTCAATTCAACACAAGGTTGTGTGCAGCCGACATCACGTACTCGTGGTGTGAGTAAGCGCAGCGAAGTAGGTAGACTTCGAAAGTTCTGTCTCAGGAAAAAAGTAGAACTGTATTCAATATCGTTATGTTTCGTAATAAACCATCTTTGTATTGGGCTAACTATATTAAACTACAATATCCTAGTGGGTTTCTTGCTCACCACCCATTGCGCGCTCCCGGCAGCGATTGATGGTTAAACTGGTTTATGTAGCGTCCATATGTACTAATAAGTGAAGCACCCAAGAATCTTACGCTCGAGGGTAATATGCTGCCAACAATCTATTGTCGTGTAATGTTGGATGAATATTATCGGAATGAATATTATACAAAATTCGATACAAAGATATAAATTTTTATGTAACGGGCCAACCCCGTTAAACCATCCCCTTGACCATCAGTCACTACAATAAGTGATTGAATTGGTTAGTGGTAGACTGACCACAATTGGGCTGCTCTGTTTGAAAGAGAACACTTGATGGTTCTGCCCAGCGCAATATATTTTTCAGCGCAGGACGAGTTTATCCATGCGCTGCGCGAACAAGGGCGCCAAGGAAGCGGCTGCACGGTTTCTTGAAGCCGGAGAACAAGCTGTCCAAGACACATCAGCAGGTGCCTAGATACATGCTGCTGCCGAAAAGCAGCTTTTGTGCTCGGTTTAAATCGCACCGATTTTCTCGAGAGACAGGTTTAACTTGCCTTTCGTGGGAAGAGATATGTCAGAATTATATTGACAGCTCTGTTAGCGCCCCTACGAAGGCCTTCCTCCCTAATCAATCCTACTGAAGGGCGCGTATCTCTTTCGAGATGTACGAGGTGATAATTACTCTTCAAAAAATTTACTAACGCGCCGAACATTTTCGACGATGGCCCTCCTCCAAAAGGTGGGTCACATCATACTGTACTGATCGACAAAACCGGGCATCTCCATCATCAGCTAAGAGCTTCGCTCCCAGGTGTTCCACGAGGGTGGATACTCTCGCCGCTGGACGAGGTAACTCGTCCTTGATCATTATTCGTCACGGTGGTTCAAGATACGCTCCACCAGGAAGCTTTATCCACCTTATGAGTCCATAGAGGATGTGGAGGAGGAGGAATAACCTCCTCCAGATGATTCGGCTCACCATCTCAACCAATACGAGATGGA